TTTTTTTTTTTTTCCTCCAACTCATAAGTCTCTGTGTCCCTTATTCTCTCCGTCTTCCCCTTCTGAGAGGGGAGAGGGGTTAATAGAGACCATCTGTCATTTGTTTAGTGGCCAGCCCAGCCTTAACCCATGACACCCTTAGTACCAGATCAGCTGAAATTGAATGTAATTCGTGTGTTACTTGGTTATCTGTATGAATTTAGAAAGTATTGTAGCCTAATTTTACTCCATCAGTCTGTATTTAGCCACTGATTTCACCTTTTCTGGTTTTTGTTGTTTTTCACTTTTCGCAAAACTTTATTATATTTTCTGTCAAGGCATCAAGGACTTCTGATATACTATAGTGGTATAAGAAGACTTAACAGTTAAGCCCCTAATTTTGTAAAGTGAAAACAAAAGCTCCTTGTTTATGGGCTAATAATTGAGCAGAAAATTTGTGAGGGAGAGACAAGTTGTCCACCAAAAGTAAAATGAGAGAGGAATGAAATGTATAGACCCTAAGAACATGAACCAGAATTCACAGACTGAATTCTTGATATCTGTGAAAGAAAGATAACATCTGAATTGAAAAATACTGCAGGAAGGAATACTATAGAAGATGCCTTCAGTGGCATAGTCTGCTTTTTTCATGGCAAAAATATTAGTTGTGCTTTTCTGAAATGTAAAGGCAATTAACTTGACATTGCACTGTGATGTCTATTGGGAATTTTCTAGCTTGGATGGCCCAGGAAGCTGGGTATCAAGGGCAGGCTATTTAAAATCATGCTATTCTATCAGGAAAAATGACATTTTTCTGTTTCTATTCTGAGCAGATACATGAAGCTAAATGATTAAAATGTAGTATACTGAAAAAACACAGCAGACTTCCTACCAAAAGAAATGTTGAAGTGGTTTGAGGGAAGTCAGTTGCTGTGTTGGGGGGAGGCAGGTGGCACCCTGGGGGAGCTGGCAGGGACCAGCCAGCTGTGAGCTCTGGCTCTGCAAGGAGGAGGTGCAGGGGTGCTCCATGGGATGCAGGCTGGTGAGTACGGGATGATGGGGATAACTGCCATAAGAGCTTCACAACACCTCAGACAGGCTCAATAAGCTGAGTCAATTCAGTCTAAATACTAAGAAACAGCATGGTTTTCCCCAATGGTGAATTTTACCAGTGTTTAAAAAAAAAATAAAATTCACTGTTAAGAAAACAGATTTTCAAAAGAAGAATGTTTCATTTTTATTTTCCAGCAGGCCCTCTTTGTTAGTAACTGTAGTAGGGTTTGCATTTCTGATTCTGACTTTTTTTTTGTTGTCACTGTTTTCTGGGTTTGCTGTGCACATTCAACAGAAGGTAATTCTAAACTGACTGAATGCATCATCTGTCATCCTGCCCATGCCCACTCTCACATACAGCTCATATGCTTCTTTGCTCTCCAAAATGCATGACACACACTGCTCTTGGCAGGCACTGTAGTGTTTAGCTATTTATTTTGGCCTTCTCTGTAAATCCACCCACTGGATCTCTTTGAACTAGTTCAGTTGCCATGCATGTATCATGAAAGCAATACTACAGTCCTCAGCTTTTATGCGTGCGACTGGCATGTTGTTAAAATCTTCTGTTGTGGCTCTGTATTGAAAGGAATGATCTGCAATATTGTTAGCAGCATGTCTGTTAAGTCATCTGAAAAAATTACAGGGAAAAAATGCTTGCTTGCTTGTTTTCTACCACATGAATTATCTGCCCTTTGATCAGTGCTTTCCCTCTCTTTGAAGACTTCTAGTGCTCTGAGAAACAAAGAAAATTGGTAAGATACTAAAACCCCAAACCAGATGAAAACATGAATGCCCCCACAGTGTGGATCATCTCAGCAATGCTCTCCTGTTGTTGACCTCTGCAGAAGGCCATACATTGCTCCTTTCTTCTGCATGCAGTAAATGAGGCAGTGTCTATGAAAATAGTGCTTTGAAATGCACTTGCCCATTTTTACAGGCATATTTTCCCAGGGTTGGAAAAAGGGAATGAGACTTGGGTACTTGATAGCTTAGAAAAGCTCATCCATCTGCAATCCAGACATTGAGCATCCCCTTCCTACCTTCACTCCTGGTGTGTGAGAGCGTCAGGAGTTTCAGACAAAGCTGATGGCATTCAGATAAGTTTCTGCACAGGATGAAAAGACTTGGCTCTGTAGCTCAGATACCTGTGCATACCAACTCATTCCATCTGACTGTGGGCAGCTGACTGAATGAGGTGGTGGTGGCCCCATCATCCTGAACTCTTTGTTGAGTCAGTGGAAGGAGATGAGCTGAATCACCCTCTGGAAATGTCATTCTTCCACCAGCTGCAGCGGTAATCTAAGGTGATTGTACTCTTAATCCAGCAAACTCAGGTGAGATAAAGCTAAGCTGTAATAGACCTTTTTTAGTTCGGGAATCTAGGATATGTTAGTACATTTGTAGTAGTCATATTAAGCTGTAGTCTTGTGCTAAGGTGCTACTGAGGAACATTTGAGGCCTTCTGCTAGCACATCTGGCACAACCACAGAGCACAAGTACCATTTTGTTGTGTAGCATGTTTCACTGGATATCGTGCATGGTCACCAAGTTCTATAAGGCAAAACCAATTTTTTTATTTTTTAGGTTGTACTTAGCCCAAGCACTTTCTAGTACTGCAAATTGAATGCTCCTGTCTCTTGGGAGAAAATGCACAGATGCTAGATAAAAGATTATTCATTGACAGGTAGAGAAGTTCAGATTTTTTTACTCTTACAATGCATATGAATTCATCATTGTCAGTAGAAAGACCTGGTCATGTTATTTTTAGTTATAAATTACTTCAAAGCAGCTATTATATATGGGTGTATTTTGTAGACTTTGGAGAAAGGAAACTGGAAGCCCTTTGTGATATTTGGAAAGACATTTCAGGTTTTTCCTCCACTCCCACTGGCCTGAGAGTAGATCTTCAGTCAGATAAATTTGGGTAATTAATTTTATTTTTTTTTTAGTTTATGGTTCCTCTTCTAGGCTGATCCTTTCAATTTAGAGTGATAAAGCAGGAGTATGCTTTGTTGCCTGCTGGCTTATTCAGTGTCCTAGATATTTCTCAGCCACAAAGGAGCCTGATGCACCACCAGAATATGAGAGGACCCTGTTGTTTCCTTCTTAGATCAAAGCAGCCATATATAATTGCAGCTGGTACTTAGGAAGCTGCTGTCAGTATCTAACAATTTCATATGGAAGTTATTGCTGGCTCTGTGAAAAAAAAAGAAAATCAGAATTTTATCTTCAGAAGGAGATTCACTGATCAAACCCACAACATTTTCAGCATTAAATCATGGCCCACTTACTATACTACTAGCTTGAATGTTTTTCTGCATTTTTCCCCATGCGGAGTTCAACAAAAACCTAGTGCTGACAAAAACCGAGCCTGGATTCTAACTACCTTAAGCACAAACAGGTGCCACCACTGCCGGATTCTTACCCTCTGTATTTTGTTCTGTTGTTGTACCAGTTTAAGCTGCTACCAGAGTTATTCAAGGATGAGGAGAAGGTCCTCAGTCCCACATCAGCAACCCCTTCAGGGCGCGTGCCTTTGTCTCGAACGGCTGTAAAACCAGCCAAGGCCAGGCCAGGTCAGGCCAGCAAGGAGCATAAGAAAACTGTGGGACATCAGGTGAGTTTGAAGGCATAGCTCTATTAAATAATGTTTCCTTCTACCTCCCTCTGTCCCAGTGTGTGCTGGTGCTTCTCAGGATCCCTTGTGATTTTGAGGCAAGTGCAGCTGACTATGACTTTGGAGCAAATGCACCCTAATTACTGATAAATTTTGGGACACAATTTCAGGGAGCTCAGTTCTTGTGGTCCCCAAACCGAAACTCATGTTTTTCAAAATAGATTTAGTATGCTGGATGCTGAGAAGCTTTTAAAATCTTATACTGGGTCTTTCTGGTCATATGCCACATTGCCTGACTCAAATCAGAAGTGGGGGTTCAGTCCCCAGAAAACTTGGTTCCAGTTAGCAATGGGCTAAACATAAAATAGCCACAGGTATGTGCCAGAATTAAATTAAAAGTCTGCAGATAGTATGTTTGGAGAACTCACTCCTTCTTTGTTACTTTCCACCTAACAGATTGAACAGGTTTTTTCTCAAGGTGGTTGTGTCTGCAGTCAGTGCTTTGTGTGTGAGATTGTCCCTCAGACTGTACACAGGAGCCAAGGGAAAGATTTTGACAGTTTAGAACTCACTTTTTATCTACTTGCTAGCCTGTACCACTTTGCTAGTGAGTAGTGGCATTCTTATTTTGCCTGGGGCTTCCAGGAGGTGTGTGTGGATAACTCTTTTTTATGTTACCGTACGACAGAGTGGAATATAAATTAGTTGTCAGGGAGTGTAAGTTCTTTGTGTCAGGGTCCCCTGCCAATTCTTGAAGATGAACCAGCCACATCTCTTGTGTACCCAGAGTTCTGATAAAATCACCAAAAATGCCTGAGCTTTGTCTGCTGCCTTGTATAGTTGCCAAGCCCCTAACAAAGATGTTAGCACAGTGTCCGAGCAGCATCATGAGCTCATCACACTGCTGAGAATGAAGGAATTCACAGGATGTTGGATCTGGATATTTGTAATTTCTCTATAATCTTCCCCAAGCAAGCTCTGTCAAACTATAGGTGGGAATAAGAATTCATGCTACTGTGCCTAATGCAAATCTGCTTGGCATATGTTTGTGGTACAGGCTGCAAGTTCCAATCTTCTGCAATTCATGCAAAAGAACCCCTACCTAGTTATCTTTTTAATTTGAACATCACTTCTGATTTGCAAACAGACGGTATCCTGAGGCTGGTAGGGGCCTAACAGTTTTGTTGTCAGGCTGAAACTATGAGTTGAAGTGTTAGGGATAATCTCATACTACTCCTATCAATCAACCATTTATATGAATTTATAAATTTTAAACAAAGGTAATAAAAAAAATATTTTTATCATATTAGGTTTATCTATTACTGTTTTCTGTGGTTAGAAGAATATACTGTGGTATGTTAGGTATTTGTGGTCCTGATATTTCTTTAAACGTAAGGCTCCTAGAACTCTTGGATATTGGATTTCCAAAGTTCTCTTCGGTAGATCTGACACAGGTCAGTGGAGCTGAAAAAATTGATAAGTGCTTTTTTTTTTAACAACACTCTGTTGACTTTAAGTATAATTTAAAATTTATTTAAAATTAAATGGGTAGTTAGTAATATGCCGTGAGATTTAGTCATAAAGAGATGGAATAGACAAAGATTAGGGTAGATGAGACAGAAGCTGAAAATAACTCAGTATCTACCACGTTTTTGTAATTTATCACATGCTGATAAGGGAGCTTTACTCCTGTAAAGCCTAGGATTTAGAATTCTCATTGTAATGTAATTCTCCCAAAAGTGGTAAACAAGATGGTATTTACTATCAAAAGTATGATTAGAAATAAGCGAATATCCTCAGGCCTGCTTCCTGAGGTTACCTCAAACATGACTGATCTTATTGAGTTTATTCCCTGATATTTTTCTCATTCTCTTAAAAAGTTTCGGAACTCTCTTCATCTGCTGATGGAAACCCTGAATGCCACAACGCCGCACTACGTGCGCTGTATTAAGCCGAATGACTTCAAGTTTCCGTTCACGTAAGCTGGTTCCTGTGGGGTTCGTGTAGCCTGGGCATGGGAGGGCATTGCCCAGGCCTCGAGGGACCCAGCTTCTGCTGATCTTGCTCACTCAGGAGCAAAGCAATGTGTCCTTTTTCTCCTGTTGTGGACTTGTTCTGTGCCTGTGTACCTACAGCAGAAAGTGGTTTGGAATGAATAAAGGGAGAAATACTTCCTGTTTATTTTTTTATTATTATTTATGGTGACACATGGGGAAAAAAAAAAGTCAGTCTTTTCATTGCTAGTTCTTTTAAATGTGGCTGGCAGTTTTCTCTAAGTTTATTCAATGCTTGCTGCAATTTGCTTTTGCAGATTCCTGTGTCTTATTCCTTACCATTTTTTGTTTTGTATATGAACTTGTGTAGAGCATTTCTCCAAGTCTGCTTAAAATCCAGGCACACAAAGGCTCCCATGACTATTGGGCAGGCCAGCAAAGCAGCTTGCAGCCACCGGGCTTGGGCAGTTCCCTAGTCAGGCTGTCCTCTCTTATCACTGAGCTGCAGAAGCACTAGCTGGACTTGTTAACCACCTGTCACACCCCACCCCTGCTCTCTCACTGTGCCACTCCTGTCCTGGGTGAGCACACGGCCAGAGGTCCCATGTAACACAAAACTAGTCCCGTGCCCACAGGCTCTTTCTATTCCTATGTAGATTCGATGAGAAGCGCGCAGTGCAGCAGCTGAGAGCTTGTGGTGTCCTGGAGACCATCCGAATCAGTGCAGCTGGCTTCCCCTCCAGGTGTGTTTGCTGCTTTTTAGATGGCTTTCAGCTGCAGTTCTTCTTTTTAAGATAATTAGTCAGTTTTGGGGACTGACAGTGTCCCTGTTTTTTTGTAACAGGTGGACATACCAAGAGTTCTTCAGCCGTTACCGTGTTCTGATGAAGCAGAGAGATGTCCTTAGTGACCGAAAGCAGACGTGTAAAAATGTCCTGGAGAAGCTGATTCTGGTACTAGACTTAGTGCTGAAAGCATTTGGAATCTGAAGGAGTAAAGATAGTCTCCCTTACTCCCTTATAGACACACTTCTTTACTACTTCTACAAAGTACTAAGCCCCCAGTATTAGCAAAGGATCTGTAAAACTTCCCAGTGTATCACAGGAAAGGAAGACAATGATTGTAAGAGCGGGTGGGTTGAGGGTGAGCCTTGCCTTGCTTAACAGCAGGATGCGTTAACCACACCTTAAGTAAGGTATAGTTTTATTTAGTTATATACTGCATTTATAGCGTTAATGTGTAGTGTTAAGTGTTTCCTAAGCTTAGCTCTCTGACTGCTGTTCCTTTTAACTTAACATCAAACAATTAACAAAATTAATTTTTCCAGTATACCTTTATATATTCTCAGTTTTTCCCCCCAAGGAGTACTACACCCTATAGACATAGAATATTATTCTCTTTCTGGTTTAGTTCTGAAATTTCAGATGTTTGAGCAGCAGCGAGATGCTTTGTTCTGGCTTAGTCCTGATGCAGTAAACAATACGTACGTTTTTGAAGCCCCAGCTGGTTTGTTTATATTGTGTCAGACGGTTGAAGGTGGACTTTTCAGAGGGGTCATCTACAGTTGAAGCAGGAAATTGTACATGTATGTTGCCTGTGTTGCTTTCCTCCTTTGGGCCCCTTTGTCACCTCCTGTGGCCTTCTATCTCTATTATAATCTTTGTGGCATTCTTGTCTGAGCAAAAATCTCATGTTACTCCCTTAGGCCATGCTTGTGGCCTTTCTGTATTAATTTGTTAACGGAATCATACAGGGAAAATACTTTCATCCACTACTGAATTTAAGTCCAGGTTTACATGAAATATTACGCAATAATTTTGCCTCTTTACTGACTGTAATTTCATTTAGCCCTTCATGTCTTTTTTTTTTTTTTTTTTTTTTTATCCACTAACATTTAATGCTGTAACTTATCCTCTTTTTACCTCTGAAAATAGGACAAGGATAAGTACCAGTTTGGTAAGACAAAAATATTTTTCCGGGCTGGTCAAGTAGCCTATCTGGAAAAAATAAGGGCAGATAAGTTGAGAGCCGCCTGTATCCGCATCCAGAAGACGATCCGAGGCTGGCTGATGCGGAAGAAGTACGTGCGTATGAGGAAGGCTGCCATCACCATTCAGAGACATGTCAGAGGCTACCAAGCACGATGGTAAGCAGTGCTCATGGGAAAACCCACACTAGCCTCAATTCGGGTCCCTTTAAGCGGGACATTTAAATGTGATACAGTTGTTCCCTCCTTCCTATACTGGCTGACAGGACATGATTTTCCAGAGAAGTGAAGGGAATTGAATATAATGAGCATGTCTGTACTACCTGGTTTTGAGCTTCCTGAGGGGGACAGTAGCACCCTGACTGTATGATGCTTAGAACACTATGTCACCTGTGGGAGCAGAGTATGGGTAGTACTAAGAGATATCTTGTGGGTGAGGTAAAGCAGGCCTTTTGCCTGAGTCCTTATTGTCCAGTTTCCATGTGCTTTCTCCTGCTGGAGAAATCATTCCTCATCCAGGGTGCAGCTGTGAAGAGAGATACATCAGAGTCACTTGTTTGGATTGAATTCTGAGGGATGGCCATGGATGGGCCAAAGATAAAGGTGTTATCATTCAAAGGTAAGGTGGTTATGAAGACTGCAAGAATCAACCTTCAGAGAGAGAGGCTTATGTCAGGATGGTTTGTAATTCTCTTGCAGAGAGGGCCAAGAACGAGCAAACTTTTTCTACAGGTTGAGGTTAGGAGAGAAGACCTAGAAGGTCCATAGTGGAAATAGTTTTAAAGCTGGAGAAAAGGCGGTGAAAATTAAGCTGAGTTTATCTTGTCAGTTCTATAGCACAGTTCTCAGACAAAGTGAAAACATCTCCCCATAAAGCCTTGCAAGGTGTATGTTAATTTGCTATTCTGTTGTACTGCCTTACAGTGGAATAGCAAGTAAATACACTGGATCACTGATAACATTAGGAAGAAACTGAAACAGAAAATATAGCTCTTGAGAAAGAGGTTAAAGTTACGGGATGAAAAAAAGTAATATTCAATCACTGGAAAATCATAACGGGTATTGTTTGTAATCTTTTTCTGCTTAGCTATGCCAAGTTCCTGCGGAGAACACGGGCTGCCATCACTATCCAGAAGTTCCAGCGCATGTACGTGGTCCGCAAAAGATACCAATGCATGCGAGCTGCTACTATTGCTCTTCAGGCTCTCTTAAGAGGTTATGTGGCCAGGAACAAGTACCAAATGGTAAGAAATCATAATACTTTACTATTTCACTCTAGATTTATTTCCACGTACCTCCAGGATGAAGCTACTCTGCGGCGTTCCCTTGGGAGTCTGAAATGTTTGTGCGTGTGCTGTTAGGCATAGTGCACTAACAATATATCACAGTGTGGACTGAAGGACAGCACCTGGAAATTAGAAAGATCTGATACTACAGTCAATGAACTTGTCATTTTAGAGATATTCACATGTTCCTAGACTTTCAGTGCAGTCAGTAGAGAATATAACAGGAGGATTTACAGCATTTTTTGCTTTCTCATTTGTTATACAGAATGTCAAGGCACTTAATAAATACTGAAAATGGCCTTGTGTGAATGTACCTCCATGAGTCTAAATCGGTACCACGCACATCAATACACATATCAATATACATATTGATGTATACACACACACACATCATTATACATTTGCGATGCACTACTATTCCTATTCCATCTCTGGTTTCAATGATTCTGAAATGGCTAATAGAATATATTGAAGGAGATTAATGTCAGCAAAGACATAACCACAAAAATAGATTAAAACTTAACCATGGGATGATTTTTTTTGGTTTGTTTTTTCCAGTGTATTGATGTTGGGTTTGTTTTGGAAAGAAATTGCTATAATCCTGTCCTAGTGATGTTGATAATATTTTCCTGATTATGCTTGATAAAAAATAAAATTTCAATTGAGAAGTTAGAATTTGCTTTTCAGTCATTACATGTCTGGAAATTTAATTGTGGTTCAAATGATTCAAGCTACAAAATGTTAGCATATTTCATGGCATTTTTATCTGCATGAATTAGGCTTGAAAGTCAGCCTATAAGTCAATGAAGTTACCTGGAAGAGTGCTCCTGTTTTCCCAAACAGGTAGAAGTTGAAGGCAATATAACCAGAAGCTAACTAACGCTTATGTTCCACGTGTTTCTCCTATATATTTAAAGTTTCTTTATGTTTTTAATTTGTATTAAAGTTACCTACACAGTCACACGTGAATGTGTCTAAATTAGTGTTCTAACATATGTTAGCCAGAAAGTTTGAAAGTGAGTAATCTCTGATAAGAATTTCTAAGTAGCAAGATCCCGTTGCTTGAATTGGCAGTTCTTTTGTGCGGGTATCTACCTGCCTTTTTATTGGAATGATTAGCATTTTCATTATTACAAAGCATATTTTATGTTAAGAGATCATACAGGATATTTTTAATGGTGGTCTGACAGATGTGACTGAGGCAGAGGTCACAGCAATATGTGCACTGAAAGCCATCCTTAGGAAAATGGGAGATGATTCTATATGCCTGAAGTTAGCTGTGCAAGCAATACACACCCCAACTGTCCTCTAGCACAGAGTTTATAAACCTGTCATATTCTGTGGCAGATTTCTGGAGGGGTCCCTGTAAAGGGTGGTCAGACTTGCCTGTCAGAGGGTGTCCCCCTCGAGCAGTGAATTGTTAAACAGGAAGTTCTGCCAAGTGCATCTGCGTATGTGTTGTCCTCCTAAGGTGGAATTTTATTAAAGCTGATGTGTGGAGATGACCAGAGAGAGAAGCACAGGCTCTGAGTGTCACGGGAAAGTAAACATGGTTGTTCTGAAGGTCTCGGTGATTGCAAGTGAGTGAAACCAAAAGGTTGCCCTGTGACAGCACGCTTGGGCTGAGCCGTGACTCTGTAAGGAATATACGGTACGTGTGTTGTTCCTTAGGATTGTGAAAGGTGCCTGTTGTTGTTGTTAGAAGAGAGGGCACGTGTTGCAGTCATGTGACTCTTACAGGGAATTTAGAATGGTTGAATCACCTATTTCACACATCCCAGGGAATGTTTCTGCCTGAGACATTGCGATGTGCTTCTCTGTTTAACAAGGAGTTTAGTTCTTCCATAGCTTTTACATAAGCTTTCCTGGGAAATACCTGGTAAATTAAGTAACTTTTCCAACTCTCTCACCGTACATACGTTGGAGTAGCCTGTTTCCTCACTGGATTGTATGGGTGTGAGAATTCACTGGCAGATGAGGACCATACCTACATGATGGAGGTATTTTATGAGACTTGTTTTCAAATTTGAGCTCAAAATGTTGTTGAAAGCTAGTTGTATGTGAGCTGTTCAGGCACCCATAGGTAATCTGAAGGACTATTCCAGGAAATGTGTAAGAAGGAAGCAGGAGGCAGGAATGACATGCAGCAAGAAGGACTTTGGCTTTTGACCTTGCTGTACTTTTGAGAGAGTTATTTCCTGGCCTCAGTGTGCTATTGAACGAGTGCTGGTATTTCAAGTCTCTCTCAGTTTTTCTTCAGAAATGAGTGGTAAGGGAGTACGTTTGTGTATCTTATAGTCTTGCCACTTTGCCAGTGAAACTTTTAAAGTCATGGATCTGGAAATGTAACTCTTTTAACACATTTCAGTTAACTTGCTAAGAAGTATAAAAGAAAATAAAATTGTTGTTACCCTGCTAGTTTGTCTTACCACCTTTGCGGTAAATCAGTGTAAGAATGTGAACTGCATATGTTCTTTAAACTATCAAATCCAAGAAGTAACATAAAATCTAAATTATTTTGCTATTTAGAATAAACTGCTTAGCTTGCAGAGGCTTTATTAAGTGAACTCCAAAGTTCTCAGAGTCCTTGAAGCCCTGTAGGTTTGGGCAGCTCCGAGCACAACTGTGGTCTGCTGGAATTCAGACGCTCCAGACCTGGCAGATCTCTGATTGAATCAGTGGGTGAAGGATCCAAAACCAAGTAGTAGACTCTTCCTGGTGGAAGGTTCTGGCCAACACACTGATGAAGGTTGCTTCCATTCTTGACTGGTTCTTGAAATTTTTGATAAGAATAAATGGAGATTTTCCATGCTGGCCAGTCCAAGATATGTCAAAAGAGGAGGAAGTGGGGGGGAAAAAAAAAAAGAAAAAAAAAAAAAAAAAAGAGAACTGACTGGAAGTTGCAGTTTCATCAGCTAGACTCCAGCTGCTGTTTTTAACAGCTGCTACAACTTATTCTGGGTTCTAGTGTATACTAGCTGCATTGCATATCAAGTGTGGTAATTTTGAACTCTGTATTGATGGCTCCTAGGCTGCATGTCAATGATTCAAAGATGTTTCAAAATAAAGTATGAAGTAAAAAAAAAAAAAGGATTGTATTTGTCATCTTGCCAACAGGTACTATATATTTTTGTAATTAGCCTGGATCTGACGTCAGCACAAAGGAATGACTGGTTCTTCTATGTGTCTCCACTTCTTCCTTTCTTTCTGGGTTTTTTTTGTTGTTTGTTTTTTTTTTTCTGGTTCTTTTTCACTTTATTTCCTGTCATCTTCCTTATTCCTGTCTTCTTTTCATCTTCTTTTTTTTGTTTAAATTAATTCCTTATTAATTTCTTGCTACTCTTCACATGAAGTTTTGCTTTTCAGGCTAAGGTGTCTCTATGTGTGCATCACCTTTACACGTCTCATTATGGAGTCTGTTTAACTGAGCAGGTGTAGTTGGTAACTCTAATACCCCTTGTGGTGTTTTTTTCTTAACTGTAGATGCTTCGGGAGCACAAGTCTATTATTATTCAGAAACATGTAAGAGGCTGGCTGGCTCGAGTGCACTACCAAAGGACCTTGAAGGCAGTTGTTTACTTGCAATGCTGTTTCCGGCGCATGATGGCCAAGAGGGAGCTAAAGAAACTGAAGATAGAGGCTCGGTCTGTAGAACGCTATAAGAAGCTTCACATTGGCTTGGAGAACAAGATCATGCAGCTGCAGCGAAAAATTGATGAGCAGGTAAAAGCTTGCTGGCCTCAGGGAAAATATTTAGAAATCTTGTATTACCTCTCTCAGTAGCACTGTGGGCATTCACAGGAAAATGTACAGAATTTTCATTGTAAAGTATCAGTTCTCTTTTGTGCTGAAATACATTGACAGAAGAGAGAGCCCACAGTAGAACCAGAACAGTAAAGCATCTGTTTATGTGTCTCAGCAGCACTGAGAGAAAACATTTGCTGCTTTAAGGTTAGTATTGCATTTGAAGCAGGTCAGTTGCTTTGTTTAAGGAGGAGGTGACTGATCGTGTTTGATGTATGTGGGTTCCCTGTCCGATTTTAGTTTGGGATGTAAATGTGCAGGTTTAGAGGCTGGACTGTTCTGTTACCTTGTTAAGCAACTCTGCAAAAACAGACCAAAACATTTTTGAAATGAGGAAGCTGCTCTTTGGCTTCCGAGTCTGGGTATATTCTGTCAGTAACTAGAAGGCTCCATTAAACCAGAAATTCTCCAAGAGCTGCTGTGTCTGTGTTGTGTTTCGCAAAGAACAAAGAATACAAGTCTCTGCTGGAGAAGCTGAGCAACCTGGAGATCACGCACAGTACAGAGACCAAGAAGCTGCGGAGTGATGTGGAAAGGCTTCGGATGAGTGAGGAGGAGGCCAAGAACGCCACCAACCGTGTCATCAGCCTTCAGGAGGAGATTGCCAAGCTCCGCAAGGAACTGCACCAAACTCGGTCTGAGAAGAAGACCATTGAGGAACGGGCAGACAAATACAAACATGAAACTGAACAGGCAAGTATGGCGCTTCAGATGCATGAGATGATGTACAGGGGCCTGGTGTCAAGTTGGGTTTTGCTCAGGCTTAACTGCTTCAGTTTTGGGACTTATACTTTTGCAGTACTTTTAAGCGATGTTACACCTGTGCAATCCTAGATAGATTTGATATCTAAATAACTACACCTATGATAGAACAATGTACAGAACCTATATATCGTGTGTAAATATGCAGATTTTGCTACTGAAAGTATTTGCAAATCCAAATACTCAAGCTTCCTCAGTTACTCAGAGTTAATGCATCCATAAAAAGAAATATTTTTATGTACCTAGAGAGTGTAATCACATAGACAGCAGGAA